ACGAAGTCCACAGTCCAACTCTATTTGCCTTATTTTTCTGGATTATTCTCATCATGAATCCAAAGCCTCATCCATTAAATTGTATGAAAAATTCAGCTGAGAAGCAAAAAGTTTATATTTATTATTTGTAATCTTCTAAGTCATTTATTGAGACAACAAATTTTGACATAGGAAATCTAAGGCTGCAGAAAGATTTATGACAATTCTGTTTCAATTTCTTTCTAAATACTACACAGTTAAATAATTCGTGCAAGACATATTTAAAAACAATAAACAAATGTTCAGAGACAGAACCAAACCCTACCATGGAAAGAACAAAGGGAGAAGATTTATTGGGTTCTATTATAGTCTTCAACATGAAAATAATGTAAAAAAAATTAAGTTTGTAAAAAAAAAAAACAAGTATTTTGAAATGACTAATATGTTTATTTCTGCATTAAAACCATGTAGGCATGTCCTGATTTCTATTAAAGTCTTATTACAAATGAAAACCATTGTTTTGAAAAACATTTTTAATAAAAATGAAAAGATATCTTTCAAGTATTTCTCAAGCTTTCTTTCTGTAATTAAGTAAGCCAATGTCAAGTACCTACTATACACTGAGAATCCCAGGAACAAAGGAGAATTTGAAAATCAAGGGAAACGTAACCTAGGTTTCATTGGAAATGGGCGTGCTTGGGCATTTTTGAAACCTTTATATATTTATTTTAAAGGGTAAGGAAAATGTAGTATTTTACCAAAGAATCCCCTAAACAGCTGCAAGAAGACTGTAAAGTCTGTGTGCTGCTCTGGAGGACTGAGTCCTGGCCCTCACTGGGCCACTAAGTAGCTGTGCAGTCTGTGGAAAATGTGCCCTGACCTCCTGAGAGTCAGGTCGCTTTCAAAAGCACGTCATAGTCTGCTGTGTCTCCATATATACATATATATGTTTCCCTAATACCTTGCCTTTTATTGAGGGTTCAGATATGAAGCTCCACCTATACTTTGAAGTCAGAGTTTATACAGGAGCAAGTGTGAAAAGAACTATGGGGCTTATAATCAATTTCCTCTGGGAGCAAGTAGATTTTCAACGCAGTCACAAAAACTCAGCCATCAATTTATTCTAAACATGTCCTAAAAAAGAGAAGAAGGGAAAGGTAGAAGATGAAAAAGAATTAAGGTATGTTATGTACATGTATCAATTCTCCATGATGAATGTAATCATTATGCACTAATATGTCCTAATAAAAATTTAAAAATTTTAAAAGTATCCATGAAAATGTTCCGATTTATTTTGCTTTATAATAAGGTTAGTCTATATAAATTAATAGAGTGGAAATTTTATTGACATTAATTGTTCTGAATTTCTGCTTTCACTCCTTTCTTAGAACTGAAACTAGCAGTGTGAGATAAACTAAAGAAACCAAGCGCTGATCCAGCCCTCTGACACACAGAGCACGTCTGGCCTGCGGTGCAGTCGCATTCTTCACATGCTGTCAGACTAACAACCTTTAAATAAATACACCATGGCAACTGTTTATAAATGATCCTTCTTATCTGAAGAGCAAGACCCATCCCCTCCTGACCCTCAGAGCAACAAGCCGATCATCAATCTCCGCCAAGGCCTCTCCCAGATGCACCCCGTCCGCTTCCCACCAAGGGAGCTCAGTAAGTGCCTCAGTTTCCTCAGCAGAGAATCACGCATCTCAAAGCTCCACAAAACACATGAGAAAAGAAACGCTGGTGGCCATGGCTTTTTATGCACTTCAGTTAAACGGCAGCATCTGGGCCTGAAGCGAGGCCACTTGACTCAGCGTTTTCCGTTTCTGGTTGTCCCGCGGACAAGCTGGAGAGGTCGCTGACTGCAGCGGAACATTTTACACTTCGCTGACACCCCGCCTTGTCCTCCCAGCCGGCTAATCTCCCCAAACGCTTGAGGAACGCCTCGGCTGAACGCTCCGTGAGAAGCAGCAGAGCATCATCTGTAGGACTAACTTTATGTACCAAGTGAGAAAACACCGGAGTAAACAGGAAAGGAGTAAAAAATGAAACACCTTCAAGTGTTTTTTTCTCAGTACCAACGTAAAACTGACATATATTTTAGAGGAGATTGCCTGTTTTTAACTCACTTTTCACCTTAGTAAACACAGCTTAGAATTAATTGGTATGAAGAGCTTCAGACAGATAAAATACACACAATCACCAGACAAAGGGTAACCTTTATGCTTGAGACGTCACTGTTTCACTTACCCACAAACTGAAGCTCTCAGTGCGCAGGCAAAGGCATAACGTCCTGCTGGGCGTTCTGGGTTGGTCTACCCAGTAAATTGGGGCATTTACAAAACAAAATAAAATGGTGTCACTGCTCCTGCCTGCCTTGCAATGGCAGCTGACCTAGCGTTCCTGATACGAGAGCAATAATCCATGCACAAACAAAATTCGCTTTTTTTACATGGGTCAGAAAATTTGGAATATCCTGGACCTGGAGAAGAAGTTTTCATAAAGCACGTTAATTCAATTTTACAGACATCTCATCGAGGAAGTGAAATACTATATAAGCCGGCTTCATGTCAGGTCTGTGCTTCCTGACTTCCCAGCTCTGCGATCTGAAAGGGACCGCTCCTCACTTTCCTCATTTGTAAGCACCAATGGCCACCTTGCCGATTATGAACATTTCATTAGGTCACAAACTATGTAACAGTTCAGTGAAAGTAGCGCCTATATTACTCCCAATAAAAATCAGCTACGTTTATTTTTGAAGGCTCTCTTTCAAAAAGAGACACGTTACATTCTTGTAAATGTCTTCCTCTCTTGGTCCCTTCCTTTTCACCTTCCTTCCCTATCTTGTTTTTCACTCACCAAACGTCAAACTTTGTGAGGGTTCTCAAGCTATAAAGGTCCCGCCCGTCTCATTCTGTTCTTCCCCAGGAAATCTGATCTCTCATTTTAATGAACACCTAGAGGACTGAACTGCCCAGTGCACATTAGCTCTGAATACAGCGGGCTTGCTGAGGGTTTCCACTTAGATGTCTTTTTGGAGGAATCTCAAATTCATTCGTTATTAATAAAACCTCAGCTCACTCCCTCTGCCGTCCAAACACACACACCTCCTATCTCGGCAGTAGATCCACTCCCACCTGGAACCCTGGGGTCAGACCAGAATTCCCATTTCTCACTGCGCAGCCCACCTCCTCCTGGCTCCCCTGAGAGAAGTCGCTTACCCCCTCTCTCCACAGGCACTGCCTGCCTCCGGACGGGTCTGCCACACGCAGCCTTGCCTCTCTCAATCTGTGCATGACATGGCAGCACAGAATGACATCTATAAATATACACGTAACATCACTCTCCCTAGAGTTGCTCCACCCTTAGAAGTGAAATGCTGTGGACCATGTATGAAACTGTATGTATAGCCTTTGCCTGCATGGTTCTCTGTTCTCTGAACGTATGAGATTTCTTCTTACATAACTGAATCTTTCTCTCCCTTGAGGGTCTTCATTCATCCCATTCTATTCCCTCTTCTGGACTATCTGGAAGAGTTTTTCCCTCCTAACATATTCCCATTGCTAGGTATTTCTTTCTCGTCACTGAGGTCTCTGCTGATCCAAGGCTTCTGCAGAAGGCTTCTCCAGATCCTCTGCAAAAGGACCACTAACCACATTCTTGCAGAGAACCTTGCACTTCTGGATCACAATCCTTAGTATATTTGTAATTACTTTAGCTTCCGTTTTCCACAAGAGATAATAAGCGACATAAGTGCAAAGACCCTGTCTCTCTTGTTTACTGCTGTAATCTCTTTATGTTATCAAATACCATTCTTACCATACGTGGGCCAAGCAAAACAGTGATAAACACTTGCTGAATTAACACAGACAACTCATTTAATTCTTGACATGAAAAGTATTCACAATTAATGGGAAAAAAATCAACATGAAACTAATTCCCAACATATGCGACTACTTATTGTAGGAAGTGAGTGTAAGTACACTGCCTGATCCAGTGAGAGAGGGGAAAGTCCGTCTGACAGGCCTGTGTGAAGAAGGCTTCTTTTTGATGCTGCAACATGAAAAATAACCACGGAGAGCAGGCGAGATTTTAAAACTGGAGGAGGAGAAATATTCCAGGGACTGTTTGGAAAAAGACATGGGTAGAGTAAGGTGTAAACTGAGACCAGTACCTAGGTAACTGCGCCTGGTGGTAGCTAACAGTGTACCGACATGTAGAAAGCGGCCCACTTGTATTTCATTGTTAGCATTACACTATTTGTCCAGAGCCACTGAAAGTGTTATCTCTGGAAGAACGATACGATTCAAGATGGTAAAATTTTATAAGAGATTAAAATGAGGGTACAGGAACCAACTAGGAAGCTATGACAATATTTCAGCCAGAAAGAGGAAAGGAACAGAAACAATACTGCAGTGTAATGAACAGCAGCGATGGGAGGAAGGGAACTGACATCGAAAACAGAGAAAAGATGGGACACAGTGAGCTCTGCTACTGAACCTTAAATTTCCTGTGCTTACATGAAGGTGGGCGAGTGGACCACAAGTGGACCTAAGGAAGAGGGTGTAGATAATTCAGATTATTAGGATCAGGGAAAAAGTAACTGATTTAAAAACAATTTTCCACTGAAATATGTTTTTATTTATAACGAAAGAGAATAAAAAATGTTCTTTCATAATTTCTGGCTGAATTTTCAATATACTTTGTGCGTACTTTTTATTTACTTATATTTGGAACAAACCTCACAAGAACATGATAATCTAACCCTGTCTTCAAAGAACTAATATCCTACAATTGCGACTGAAGGAACTTGTAAGATGCAGACTTCTTCCCTACTCAGGAGAAGAGTAAGATCATTTATGTTGAAAAGAATTCGAGTCTTTGTCATAGGCTCTGTGTAAAAACATTAACATGACATAGAGAATATTAGGTCATTGTAATCGCAGGAATGGTAACATCTGAAGTTACATCATGTGTAGTGACCGGGAGAGCATCTGAGAGCAACGAAAAGCGACACTTACTTTTGCGGCCCCTATCTGTTCTTTGCGAAATTTCTCAAGTGGCGCAATTAATACATCATTGGCATTTTGAATCTGAAATTAAAAATGCACATATATTACATTCTTTATAATTTCATGCCAACAATATCGACAAAATGGCTCTTTTACTGAAGTTACTGAATGCAGTTTTGTTCTCTTGTCTGTCTCTATAAAGAAAACCCTTTCATGTTGTGTGGCATTTTTCTACCTAACAATGAAGCTGTTTTCACATATTTCACTTGATCCTAACAATAATGTGAACAATGTGAATATAAATACTTACTCTGGCAAAACTGCAGTTAAAGTATTTAAGGTTCTCCTAAGAATTAACTAAGAAACAGTACATTGCGTTTAAGTTTACAAACACCTTTAATTGCACTGGCTTATTGTAGCCAGTTTGAGCATTGCTTTACTATTGAACCATACAAACACTCTTTCATTTTGCCACTAAAATGCCAGAATTCCACAGCTGCAAAATAAAATAGGCTCATTTTTTCCTATTTAATTAGATTCCTCACACTTGGGATTTGCACGAATGTGCTCATATTTCCAACCTGAATAAAACAGTATCTGATCTCATTTCAAAGAAAAATACTCTAGCCAATATTCCAAATTGAGATTTTCTTAAACTTTAAAACTGACGCATGTTTTAGTATTAACCTGTAAGAATTGAGCACCAGGAAGTAGACACAAGGAGACACATATTTTAAAGAGTTACATTTTGTTAAGAGCAAATTTTGATTTTAAAAAAGCACCATCTTCAGACCGCAAAAAGGAGGCCCAGTTAACAAAATAAATAATTTGTTCTTCTGCTGTGATAACTAAATATTAACCATTATATAATGAACAAATGCTAAGTTGAAAAGAAAACCTCTCTTAACATATTATCCTACTTTAAAGCAGGTTAAAGAACATATAGGAGGAGTTCTTAGAATATTCTTGCAACTTTTCTGCAAGTTTGAAATCATGTAACTTCTATAAGTTTGAAACCATACAACATAAAAATGTTTTCCCTTTCACTATTGTTTGTCTCTAATCAAGTTTTTTTGGGTTTTTTTCTGGTACCGGGAATCGAACTCACGACCTTGAACTTGCCAGGCAGGTGCTGTGCCACTGAGCTAAATCCCCAGCCCCAAGCTTCATTTCTTAATTCCATAATGTAAATGCACAGATACACACAAAAACTAAAAGCACAATGTTAACGCACTTCCCATGAGCCTGGCATTCTCTTTTTTTGTTTTTTTTTGGTACTGGGAATCAAACTGAGGACCTTGCTCTTGCCAGGCAGGTGCTTGTGCCGCTGAGCTATATCCCCGGCCCAAGCCTGGCATTCTCATAGCTGCAGAAACATATTATAGATCTTGCAAAAAGTGAAAGTATGCAGAGTCAATGAACACTCCAATTCTACTCAGAGACACTGAGTGGCAAATGTAGATACTTCTGATGGCCATCATCTACTTCCCACCCGTGAGCCCAGCCAGACGGGCCTTCAGGTACACTGTGCACGGGTGACTGGAGAGGCTCGTAAGCAGTTCAGTTTTAATTCTCACTTTCTAAAACCTCCTGTCCTCATAAAGCCCAAACACACACACACACGCACACGCACACGCAGACACACGAAGATCTTACAGAGGTAAGGAACAGCTGAGTCAGTCTTTTGTTTTTTGTTTTTTGTTTTTTTTTTTTCTGGTACCGGGAATCGAACTCACGACCTTGCGCTCGCCAGGCAGGCGCTGTGCCGCTGAGCTAAATCCCCAGCCCCTCAGCTGAGTCAGTCTTTAACCGTAAGATAGCGTTAGGGGAAGATAGTGTTATGAACACCTTATTGTAATTTGGAGAAATACCCATAATAAATGTTATCATTTACTCAAGGTTTATACTCGGTGTCTGAAACTGCACAAGCATGACCCAATATATTTAAAATTAGTGAGCTTAAAATGGAGCTATTTCTCAAGTTGGGAAAACCCAACGATGAGGAGACTGAACAAGACCGACAGGCCGACAGGCATCGCAGTGCTTACATACATGTATGTAACACTGAGCAGACCTGGGTTTAGACTGGTCCTGCTGCTTACGGGGCATCACCAAACCACTAAGGCATCAGCTGCACCATTTACCTAATAACTAGGTTTTCAGGACTTAAAGATAATGAATATGTAACACCTAGTCCAGCGGCTTCTGTACACTACACAAAAATGGCAGCTTTCACAATTTCCAAATGTGTAGATTGTATATTTCATGTGGCATTTACTCATATAAACCAAATCTATACAAGGACCCACTGCATTGCCCTTTTGGTTCAGGTGTATCCAGATCTATAGTATCAGGAAGCATTTTCTCAAAATCCTGAAAGACAGTTGGCCTGGGATTTCCCATACCCTAGCACTGCGGGTATTTATGTATGTGTCAACCGCAGTGCTGAGATCTGTGAGGGAAGGACAAATGAAAGTAAGAGCTAAACTTTCCAGAAAGTTAAAGTCTCCTTGAAATGGGAAAAAAAAAATGTATTCACTCAACAATTACTGGGTGGTTGCAAACTATTGCTGAGCGATTGTGGGAAAACTGAAAGATGGATCCCATTACAGTGAGGATAATTACCTGAGAAGCTGTGCAGATACTTTATAAATACATTAGGACTCTGACAACAAGAGAGATCGATGAGAATTAAATGCATCTAATGAGTATTTGGGTGGTTGATAACTGGATACGCTGAAGAAAATACTCCAGAAACAGGGAACTTCGTAAGTCAAGGTCAGGAGGTACAGGTAAGCATGGCGTATGGGAAGGCAGCGCACGGTGCAGAGCACCAAGGTCTCAAACACACTTACCGAGAGTCAATCTCGTGTGGCACACGACCACCCAGCACTCTGAACGACCGAAGGAGGGGCATCATTGAGTACGAGCCCAGCCTGGGTGAGCTGGTGACTTAGTAAGATCCCATCTCAAAATAAAAATTCAAAGACGGCTGATATTGTACCTCAGTGCAAACCTCTGGGTTCAGTCCACACCACACACACACACACACACACACACACACACACAATGTTAATCATGACTGTATATTCACTCACCAAATTAAATGCTTTCGGTTTTATAAGACAGAAATGGTGAAATGAATGCGAAGGCCATCAAACAGTTTGGCTTGCAGTAGATTCAACAGAAATACTTTGCGATCTCCTTATTAACTAGGAAGAACATCATCTAACTTGAAAAGAGTATACACTGCCTTTAGTAGGAAGATCGACTGAACCAAGTTTAAACAAAACGGGGTGGCTTATACAGTACCTATAATCCAGGCAAAGAACTGTTAATATGGAATCACTGCTGGCTTCTAAACAAGGATAATTTAAAAATTCTTCCTGTACATAACTGTAACCCCAGCTACTTGGGAGCTTGAGACAAGAAGGTTGAAAGTTCAAGGCCACTGCAGAAAGTTTAGCAAAACTTCATCACAAACAAAGAAAAAGAAACGACAAGAAATTCTCGAGAAACTTTAATCTCAAATAATAATGGGCGAGAGATAAGGTACCTCCAACACTGTTTGAAGAGACAGTTCTGAGAGACACTGCAGGACCCATGAGCAGATTAACTAGCGGAGAAAGAGTGATCATTGGAGATACTAAGGTTTCTGCTTCAGACCCTGAAACTTGCTTGCCACGTACAGAACTGGGATAATGAGATAGAGTGTGTGTTTGGTAGAAAGGGCAAAAAATAATAGTAAAAAGAATTTCATTTCGGATCTATGGTTATCTGATATCCTAAGAGAACTCAAAGAAATACTATTTCAGAAAATCCCATCCCACAATGGTAGAACTAATCAGTGTAAATGAAAATTGTTTTTCACTTTAATTTGTTTGCAATACTAGCACTTGAGCTCAGCTTCTCACTCATGCAAGGCAAGTCCCAGACCTTTGTGTGTGTTTTTTCTCTTAAATTTTGAGAAAGGGTCTCAAGTTGGCTGGTCCAGGCTGGCCTCAAGCCTGCAATCTAGCCTCAGCAGCCCCAGCAGGTCAGATTACAGATGCATGACACTGCGACTAGTTCAAATGGGAGTCTTTACACTGGGAAGTCAGAGATTACAAAGCAGAGTAGATGACAGGAGGATCCATGCACGAAATCCCGGCACTCACATTCACATTTCTGCTCGCCACTCTTGTTCAGGTGTCATACAAACACGACTTGAAAATAAAGCAAAGGCTACAGGACATAAGAAAAGGGAATAATTAAGCACGCCTTGGGGGCAAACACTAATTCCTATCTCTATTGCTTCCATATTTGCTAGTTTTTCTTTTGTTCCTGGCTTTGTCCCTCACTCCATCCACATTTTGCTAATGTGAAACCGAAGGAATAAAAAATAAGATAAGGTGAAAGTATTAAATAGAGAAAGTCCAATAGAGTGGTAGAGATAACAACACACAGGAGTCACTGCCTGCTACCTATGTGCCAGATACGACACTAAACTGTTCACAGTGCAGAGATTAAAGCTGATTTTATATGAGTAATGAAGTCAAGAACATAAAAAGTCATCTGGAATGTATTAAGAATTGGAATGTTAAAGTTAGATTCAGCGTCGTTTGAATCCCAGCATGAAAACTGATAACATTCAGTCTTTATTCCTAAATTTATTAAGGAGTTTTCTAGAAATTAAAGAAGGATATTTTTAAAACCACTAGCACAGATCTGTCTTCTACAGGCTCTCCATAAATGTTAGTGTCTTCAAAGAATCGAGTGAATGTCTACTCTCCTACTCTGTGTTCATAACCATCCTCCACAGTATTTTACTTTCCCTGATTTCAAATTTTAATTGTTTGAAGTTAGACGTGAAATCCCTATTATTTTAACTAAACGGTAGCAATTAAGAGGACTAATCATAATTTTGAACCTACGTTTTTGCATACTCCACTTAGAATATTTGTGCGGATTTCTATTGGAAATCGATGCTCTTTTCAGGGACTGCCAATGGCTGCTGCTCACAATATGTGTGTTACAGTGTGACAGCTCAAGATAAAACTGCCAGCATCCGAAGGGTATGAAATGGGTTTACATTTATATTT